GGGACTGGGGGGGGACCTGCCGGGTCACCTGGATCCTGCCCGGGTCGAGCCCCAAGCCCCTGAACAGAACCGTCAAACCAGAGACCCTCCTGCTCCCCCGACCCCCTCTCCCCCTATGCGGCGCTTGGCCGCGGCTGGATCTGGCCCATGTTGGTCCTTGGTCCCCAAACGCTACCACTTGAATAGGGAACCAGGCCAGCTGCCTCCTCCAGCCCAGTAGTCTGGAAAGGGGCGTGAGCACCAGAACAGTCCAGTTATGGCCCCTCAGGGCTGCCCTTAGGATTTATGGGCCCCTGCAGTTGGATTAAACAGGTGCCCCTATGCCCAACAGTAGCCCCGTGTGGGGAGGGGGGGGGGAATCTGGACCCCTTAGCTCCATTCATCTGAAGAAGTGGGTTGTGCCCAGAAAGCCCATGATACCATCTACAGGGTTTGTTAGTCTATATGGTGCTGCAGGACTCTCTGTTAATTTTTTTTCAAGTTTTTACTGTAAATTCAGAAACTGACAGCATATACCTGGGGCTAGCAAATGGCTTCTCACCACTCCAATGGCTCTTTCACAGGTTGGGTGTTCTGCTAATAGCACTGCCAGGCTTTTCACTTTTAAGTTAGCTAGAACCTCTCTGCAGGACACAGTGGGACAGAAATAGGGGAAGAGGCAGATGGGTGGCTATTAAGACCCAGCAGTGCCCCACATTTTCAGTGCCCTACACCAGTGATTCCCAATAGCTGGGCTGTAGCCCAGCTGCAGCAGCTCTTGGGGGTGGGGCTGGGATGTGCCCAGCACCTCCCCTCCTGTGGCAGCTGTTGGGAGAGGCATGTCCTGCTCTGCCTCTCAGCCAGTCAGCGCTGGGCAGGGGCGTGGTCTCCTCCTGGCCACAGAAGAGTGGTTCGCTGCGCAGCAGTCTCCTAGCCATGGGAGAGCGCTTCCCTGTGTGGTGGGGGGCAGGGCTAGTTTTGGGGAGCTCTAAGGGATGGGGGGCTCTAAGAGGTGGAGGGGCACTGGGGCTTCTGGTGTGGAGAGCTGGCACTGGGAGGCTCTGAGGGTGGGAGGCTGGCACCAGGGGGAGTTAGGGTTGGGTGCAGGGGACTCTGTAGTCAGTGGCTGGCACTGGAGGTTTAGTGGAGGGGCAGGGGCTCTAGGGGTAAGGCCTGGCACTGGGGGGGGCTCTGGGCTTTGGGATGTACCCCAGCCTTGGTCCTCAGAGCCACCGCAAACAGCCAGCTTCAGCTGCAGCAACCGCCCACCACGTGGTGACAGCTGGAACTGAAGCTGGCTCTTCACAGTGGCTCTGGGAGCTGGGACTTTTGGCGGACCGGTAACATTTTATTTGCATATTCATTATTTATATAATGAATATGAAAATAAAATGCTGCTATTCCACAGTATGAAAAAGTTTGGGAACCACTGCCCTGCACAACTACATATTCTGTCCTTGGATCCAGCTAGATTTGGCATTTTTAGATCTAGATTGCAAGCTGAACAATGAACATGGAAAAACCCAGACGGACTGTATCCTGGCACAGCACACGTGTGCTGTATGGATGTTGCTGATTCTCACCTACTATTAACATGTGTTTAAAAATAATCGAATAGATGTCTCAATCCCCACACTGCTTTGAAAAGCTCATTTAAGATAGCCAGCTAGCTACCACACAATGTGATCAGTCCCCCTGCAAACTAAGTGTGATGTTATGAAATTTAGCTGTAACTAGAAAGACCATGGTAAGAGCACCTGGCTGTTAAAGTTCCTTTGAAACACAGCTGCTCGAGTCCTTTAATGTACAAGATTTCAGGGTAATCAGAAGGTAAAACTTGGTGGGCTTAGGTGGAAAAATAAGTACAGCCCTCTTGGATCCAGCTCCATCTGGTTTGTTTGTTTGTTTTAATGTGCCAGCATGTATCGAGGAGGAGCATTTCATACCAAGCCAGGAGCTGCTGCACTCTATCTCTAGTATTTAGAGGTTTGTGGCCCAAAACATTCTGGCTACGTCTACACTGGCATGATTTTCCGGAAATGCTTTTAACGGAAAAGCGTCCGTGGCCAATCTAGACGCGCTTTTCTGCAAAAAAGCCCCAATCGCCATTTTCGCGATCGGGGCTTTTTTGTGGAAAACAGTACTATGCTGTCTACACTGGCCCTTTCGGGCAAAAGTCTTTTGGAAAAAGACTTTTGCCCGAACGGGAGCAGCATAGTTTTTCCAGAAAAGCACTGATGATTTTACATTAGATCGTCAGTGCTTTTCAGGAAATTCAAACAGCCAGTGTAGACAGCTGGCAAGTTTTTCCGGAAAATCAGATGATTTTCCGGAAAAACTTGCCAGTGTAGACACAGCCTCTGTGTGTGGCATGGTTCAGGTGTCCCATATGTTTCTGCATCAGTCTTACAAGGGGTGGGGCAGAACCTGCACTTTTTGTTATCTATTTTAATCATAATATTTGGGGGTGTGGTAATAGGACCCTGCTGGCTCCAGGTGCTGGTTACTTTCCTTTGGAGAATCATTGAAGAGGGTTGCTATGATGGGTGTGGATTTTTTTTCAGTGAATTTGGAGCAGCTGCATTTCTCTAGGTAGCTTGGAGAATCTTTGAGATTGGTGTTTATAAAACTTGCTGGGTGTAGTGGATCTATAGTGTATGTTTATCTGTGTGCTTGTTGTGCTGCTGCTGAACTTGTTTGCTGAATGGTCTGGATTTTTGATGTACTAAGGGCTGCTTCATTTTTCTTGCATTTTGAGAGTAGATTTTGGGGGCACTGGGTTGAAAGTTTGGCAGGATATGTATCCAGTGTATTTTACCAGGTCTGTTGGGCTGGAGGCATCCACAGCCAGATTTTTCCAGTGAAGCAGATGTAGCTATGTTCACTTTCTATCTGTTTTGTCTTGGGACTCAGAATTGCTCAACTAAGGTTTTTCAGGGAACACGTGCCAAGTCCCAGAATATGTGTGTGCACTAGGAGCAGCAAAGCTAATTCTCTACTTGGCATTTGTATTTGGGAGCTTGAGGCTAAAAATATGGCTGGCTCCAGGGTTTTGCACTACTCATATGCACTCCATTGAGGTCAGGCTTGTTTTGGTGCAGAGCCATTAGAATTTCTCCTTACTTGGATGGTATGATGTGGGAAGGACATATCCAATTTTTATTTTTTCCTCAAAAGTTGATCAGAAAAGCATTTGGAATTGCTTTCAGTCTACTCTCGTGGGATAAATGAAAGGAACAAGTTTAAGCAACTTTAAGCAACTGCTGCTCTACAGATCAGAGTAAAAACATTGCATCCTGTGGTCTGGAGGATGGAGATTCCTAGTAATGAGTACAGGTCTAATTGCAAATGATGGAACAATTCTTCAAGACCATAGACCAGGATCAGCACTTCTGAACCAAACACCTTAGAACTGGATCTGAGCTTTGCTGTTAGCCCTGGTTTCTAATGGATTGTAACAAACTTCGATCTATTCTACAGGGGGTTGTTATATTGTACTGATCACTTACTGAACACTTTCCTGGAGTGCATTAAGCAATGTGATTAACATCTGTTATGTGTTTGTTTGTTCTCTCCCCTCTCTTCCCAGGAGAGCAAAATCTCTGGCTTCTTCACAGACAAAATATACCCTTATTGGAAGGAATTCCCTTGTGCAGGGATGACCAGTTGATGACCAGTGTTTATCCCGGAGCTTTAGCTGGCCTTTTGGAATGGAGCTTCTTTTACATAAGGACAGAACCGTTGGGCTTGATTTTACATTCAGTAGAGAGCAGAGGTGAGCTTTGAGGTGCTCGACTCAGCCTGTGTTGCTGAGAGGAAGTGCTGCAGTGTTCAATATTACTTGACATTTCCTCAGTGTCAGTTCATTGTCCACTAGGATGGGACAGTGTCTTCTTGTTAACCAGAGACAGGCCTGCCAATGTGGGGGGAGGAAGGGAATAGGAGGCAATTGCCCTAGAATCCAACTATTCTATCAGGCTCGGAGCCCTGGGCCTTTTAAGTCACCGCTGGCGCACCGCATGGCCAGTCCAGGTGGCTATATGGCAGGGGTGAGGAACCTTTTTTAGGTCGTGAGCTGCTGACCCACAGAAAAATCAGCTGGGGGGCTGCACACAAGCGAGAAGTAAAAAAACAAACCATCACTGAAAGGGTCCCCAACTGAGGAGAAAGATGCTCCTCACATTCCCTTTGCACACCAGAATGTCGGGGGCCTGGGTTAGTAGATTTTGTGTGCTCCAGCCCTGCAGGGAGACGGTGGGGGGCTGGAGTGCCAGCACAGGCTCCCCAATGCTGGGAGTCCTGAGCATCAGTGGCTGGATCCAGGCAAGCGGGGGGCTGCATCCAGCACCTGGGTCTTAGGTTCCCCACCCCTGTTCTTAAGGTGGGGGGGGGGGCACTGTGGGACACTCACAGCCCTGCCTCTGCCCCTTTCGCCTAAGGCCCCACCCTTTCTGGGACAACAAAGTTGGGCTCCCATCACGGGAATGGCTGTTGGCTCCCCTGGCTAGCAGAGAGCATTGCTTGCAGATGCTGCTATGTGAGCACTTAGTTTCAATGAGGGGGGACAGAGTGCTGCTCCTAGACTACAGGCTGACTTGACCAGTTGTTGCAAATCTTCCAAATACTTTCCTCTGACCACTGGCGTCATCTGTACCTTGCTCATGGTTCAGCTTCAGCCAGTTGTTCTTAATTGAAGGGCTGAGTTGGAGGCAGTGGTTGGTATGTGCTGACAGAAAGGAAGATCTGTGGGTCATCTGTATATGCTGGGAAATTTCAGATTTAGATCCAAATTATGTTGCGCAGGACCATGACAATTAATTAACTGCACAATCTTCTGGTCTCCCATTGAACTCTCTTGTAATTTTGTAACCAAATGAAGCTTTGCCTAAGCGTGGAGATCTGTCACTGTACTTAGTTCTTTCACCCCTATATTTTTGATTTGTAGTTTGACATCAGTGGACTTTGGGGGAGGCCCACAATAGCAGCTGCATGACATGCCCAGTTTCCTACATCATCAGAGGGACAGAGAAATGCAAAATTCTGACCCGACCATTGTGCAATGGCTCCACACATGAGCAAGGTGCTGAGATGTGGCAGCAGTGAGTGCCATAGGAAAGGCCTCCAATCGCTTCTAATACTGTAAGCCCAGAACTGCAGGAATTGCTGATCGAGGCAGCTGGGGCCCCAGAGTTACCTCCTTTCTCATGTTCCAAACTTCTACATTTGGGACAAGGTTATATTTAATGAAAACTACTGTGGCTGGATAGAACTACTATGGGACAGCGAGGCTCAGCTCCCCCAAAGGAATGTCAACACCTAGCTCTCTGAGAATCTCCTGGCTCTAGTGCCTGGCCAGGAATCTGTCTTCGTTTCATGGTTCTACCCCAAAGATGTCTCCAATAGGTGATCCTTCAGCCATGGGTTTGGAAGCTGTTTGAGTGCCTGGTTGATCTTATGATTAATATTAAATCTGTTAGTTGTGGTTATCAATGCCAAATCAGCCTTCACACCTGATTGTAACAATCACTTAAGTACCAGAGCTAGCTTTCCCATTTTCCAGGCTTTAGGTATTTAATTGCCAAGAAAATCAGGCTGGTGTGGAAGAATTAAGAAGAGAGTGGGGGATCAGGAACTCCCCTGCCATTGACTTTCACTGAGGCTCTCAGTACAATGAAAATAGTTCTATTTAATCACTTCACAGTTGCACTGAGAGGATTAAATTGTTAATTGAACAGATTCCAAAAGGTGCTCAGCACCTGCAACTCCTACTGATTTCTGTGGGAATAGCAGCTAGTTCCCCTTTGGATCTGTATCTACAGTTTATATAGCACTTTGAAGATATAATAGTGGGATTTTCAGAAATACTCAGCAAACCATTCACTTTAATAGGAGCAGAAGTAGACCAGCTGTGAACTTTTCAACATCCCACCCATAAAGTGCTGTCTAGAGGGCAATAAGTATTATTCACTGCTCCATTTTGCACATTTCCGTCTAACCTTTTATCATCCTAATTGCTCTTTTGTGGGCACATCCCCCATCTTTATTTTCTTCCTGTAGCGCCAAGCCCAGAATTATACACATGCCTTTAGCAGTGGTGTAATCTGATCAGAGAATTACCATGAGTGTTACATGTGATATCCCCATTAGACATTTCGGATTAAGTAGGTTATCCAGATATTGGACTGACTTTGTGAACTGGATGCCTGATGTCTGTTAATTTTGTACAACAAGAGAAGTTTTGTTACTTATATGTGACACAGATGCATACTTTGTGATTCCCACTGGTTTGCCAAGCTGGGATCTGACCACATTGTAAGTTTCTGCTACAGCACTGCTCTGGTAAGGACAGATAGAAAATAAGTGCCTTTTTGTTCTCTTATACTAATGATACAGGAAAAGAGGGAGTAAGAGACCAACTACCACATTACCGGTCAATTATGAACAAATAACTAAATCTAGAATCTAATAAAACTATTCAACACAAAATTTATTCAATATTTGTAAGTCAGTCGGCTATTAATCAAAGTTGAAAATCAGGACTTTACTAAGAACTGATCAGAAGCCTACTGAAGTCAATGGAAAGTCTCCTATTAACTTCAATGGGATTCGGTGGAGTTAATCACCACAAAATGCTTCTGGTGTGACATCCTGCTAAACTATCCACTTCCTCATATAGCATCAAGACATCTTTGCTCTCCTTCCCCATTCCAGGCTACAGTGGAGAAGGGTGGTTGCTTTCTTTTCCTGAGGGTGGGAGAAAAGAGAAAAACCCCTTTTTTTGTAGCAGAGAGGATTGACAGAAATAAGACAAGAAACCCTCCCTCCATGCAGAAGTCTCTCTTTCTTGTTTATAAACTAATTACTTAGGACATAAAAATGTTTACAAATGTTTGCCATGTTCATATCAGAAACAAAACAGTAACTGCTACAGTAATAGTGATTTGAGCTATTTGGGTATTTATCAGATTAGAGTGAGCATCATTACAACACATCCAATACTTTGTTTCTAAGTGTATTAAATTGTGTGAAACCTCTAATTACTTATTTAACAGAGCAGATGCATCTATTGAGTATCAATACTAAAAACCAACCAACTGACAACTCTCCTCCCCCTCAACCAACCAACCAAAAAAAAAAAAAAAAAAAAAAAAGGGGGTTTTCTTGGGGGGTTTTTTTTTTTTTTTTTTGGTGCATCCAGGAGATTGTACATTTTCTGAATATTGAATCTAAGTATGTATTTTTCCTCTGTTTTGCTGGGTAATTCATACATGAATGTAAGCATATGGAAAAATTAAATTCCCATACTTTTGAACCATTCCTCTATAGTTGGACTATCTTTTTCCAATGAGTAGCTTAGAAGCTACTAGAAGATGAAAGATTACTACTACTTTTCCTTTGGTGCGGTAATTTACACTGGACAGTCCCAAGAGGTTTAGCAAAAAATAATTTTGTAATCAATATTCAATAATTTGTAATATCTGGTTATAAGTTGGATCCCAATTTTCTGACTGACTGATTCAGCATATATGCACACCATCTCCTCTTTCACCATGGTTTCGCCAATATTTTTCCCATTGCAATCTAAAATGTATATATTTTCCAGACTGGTATGAAGTACTGCTGAAACACTCTTAAAAAAACACAACTACAGAGTTGTTGTTGGTCATCTTTTCCAGCTCAAAACTCTGGTCATTCCTCTGGGGTAATTTATCTATCCAGATCTTTTCCTTCATGTGTCCTCTTTCTGCTAAGATTGATGAACAGTAAATGAGTTATTTGTGTTTCCTAACTGACCAGGTGCCATCCATTCAATTGAAATTAGCTTGTCTTATAAAACAGTTTTTCTGTAAAGTGGAGAAGCACAGTGCCTGATTTGAAAGAGACCTGAGGCCAGATAACATTAAGTTTGAGCTCTAACTCAGTTAACAAGTATTTTTACTGACTTGCTGGCCAACTGTTTGTATTCTACAGCTCTGCCACTCTTTAAAGCTCTCCAATTTGTGTGTGTTGTTGGTAAGGGAAAATAACTTATTTTATCTGTAGTCTATCCCAAACAAATAGAGTAGCCTTTACTAAAGGACATGCATATATTTCTTAAAGGCGTGATTTTATATTTTATTAATCTGTGGTAGCCTAGCAATGTTTACACTGTTACAATTTTCTTGTTCAATAAAGAACTAGTGTGTGGCTGTCTTAGAACAGCCTAATCCAGCAGTGCTTTGAGGTGGCTAGTTTAATTGTACCACAGGATATCTTGAACAGCAAGTCCACCCTGTTTAAGGAATCTGTACAAAGTCTCTGCATTCACTTTTGATCTTTTCTTCTTCTTCCATGTAAATTGCAATAACATCCTCTATATTTCTGCAAGGGTATTATCTGGGTGTTTACAGAAATATTTTTGAAAGAAGAAAGATATTCTTGTCAAAATATCTTTTGACTGGCTATTCTTCTCAAACAAGAAGGTGTATACTTCCCCTGCACTCCGGATCTTTTTTCATTTGCTGAAGTAGCGATGTAAGATACACATCATAGGGCTCTTCTAGGTCGTTTGAGCTTTGAATTCCCAGCTACCTTATAGAATGTATTATCAAAATCTTTTCTAGCAGAATTATTTCTCAGAATCTGGCACATTTATAGCTAGCATATCAGATTGGGGTCGTCATCTTCTCCCTACTCTAAGGACTGCTCCCAGAGTATTCAAAATCATCCATCTCCTATGTTACTCTCCAATAGAGTGATCTACTCATGCTTCTGAATGGAAAGCTAGTGTAATCTGTGGATTCTGACAGCTGAATTTGTCTGATGGGCTATATGTGCCATAGGAAAACTCACCATTAATTGAAAAACTGCAATGTAAGATTCACACAGAGAGATACAATCAATGATACATCTAAGGCCATGTCTACATTATGAGATGAGGTCGAACCTTTTATGGTCAATTTTTGGTCACCTGATTTTGCAAAAGTTGAAGGTCTGTGTCCTCCCTGCAGGGAAGAATCCAATATAGTCCAAAGTAGTGCAGCCCCAGTAGGGAGCCTTTCATCAACAGTAATGCATCGTGGGGAACTTTGCATTCTGGGTTATGCTCCTAGTGCCTGCTTAGACTAAAACTATGCAGTGAATGGTTATGGGTTCACTTTGTCAGCATCCCATAATGCACTTGTGTAATCTCTACCCCCTTGTGCAGTTCTTCAGGAGTGCATGCATGTCGCTCTGCCAGGATGAAGACGAATCTCAGGCTGGCATGGAGTCGCTGTTCATACAAGTGCTGGTGCTGATGCAAGCGCAGCAGCCAGTCAGTCAATCCTGTGGAAACAGTGGAATGCTAGTTCTGTTGTCATCAGACAAGCACAGACTGGTGGGACGGGATTGTGATTCAGAGATGGGATAATCAGCAGTGGCTGCAGAACTTCCGAATGCACGAAGCCATTTTCTTTGAACTTTGTGAATAGCTTTCCCCTGCCCCAAAACACCAGAATAACTGAATGAGACCCACACTGACCATGGAGAAGTGCAGGGCAATAGCCCTTTGGAAGCTTGTGATGCTAGACAACTAGGCTGCGTCTAGACTGGCATGATTTTCCGCAAATGCTTTTAACGGAAAAGTTTTTCTGTTAAAAGCATTTGTGGAAAAGAGCGTCTAGATTGGCACGGATGCTTCTGTGCAAAAGCACTTTTTGCGGAAAAGCGTCCGTGCCAATCTAGACGCAGTTTTGTGCAAGAAAGCCCCGATCGCCATTTTCACCATCGGCACTTTTTTGCACAAAACGGTTCTCAGCTGGCTACACTGGCCCTCTTGCGCAAAAGCATTTGCGCAAGAGGGCTTTTTCCCGAACGGGAGAGTCATTATATTTGCGGAAGAACACTGACAAACTTACATTAGATCGTCAGTGTTCTTGCGCAAATTCAAAGTGGCCAGTGTAAACAGTGGGCGAGTTTTTCCGCAAAAGTAGATGCTTTTGTGGAAAAACTTGCCAGTCTGGACACAGCCCTACTGTTCAGTTGGGAATCAATTTGGAGCAGGGAAGTCTACAGTGGGGGCTGTTGTTATACAAGTAGCCAACGTGATAAATACCATTTTACTACAGAGGATTGTGACTCTGGGAAATGTGGATACCTTTGCTGTCATGGGGTTCCCTAACTGCGGTGGCGCAATAGCTGGAACACATAGTCCCATCTTGGGCCCGACCACCTTCTGACGGAGTACATAAACTGCAAGGGGTACTTCTTGATGGTGCTGCAGACGCTGGTGGATCACAAGGGCCATTTCACAGACATCAATGTGCGATGGTTGGGAAAAGTGCATGATGCGTGCGTGCATCTTTAGGAACTCCTGCCTCTTTAGAAAGCGAAAAATGCACACTGGAATTTTTTTCCCAGACAGGAAAATCAGAATCAGAGAGGTGGAAATGCCTATTGTGATCCTTGGTGACCCAGCCTACCTCTTGCTCTGGTGGCTTATGAAGCCATGCCTGGGCAGCCTGAACCCCAGTGACAAGCAAGTGCAGAATGGTGGTTGAATGTGGTTTTGGATGTTTAAAGGGTAGGTTTAGGAGTCTCCTGACTAAGTTAGACCTCAGTGAATGCAACATTCCCTTTGTGGTGTCAGCCTGTTGTGTGCTCCATAATATTTGTGAAAGCAAAGAGGAAACTTATCTGGCGGGGACTGAGGCAGAGCACCTGGCCAGAGACTCTGAGCAGCTGAACATCAGAGGGGCTTTGAGGAAGTTTTATGAATGGCCAGTTTTCAGACTCATGCATGTTGCTCTCAACCAGTTGCCCCTGCACACCCTGGCTACGTCTAGACTGGCATGATTTTCCGGAAATGCTTTTAACGGAAAAGTTTTCCGTTAAAAGCATTTTCGGAAAAGAGCATCTAGATTGGCATGGACGCTTTTCTGCAAAAGCATTTTTTGCGGAAAAGCGTCTGTGGCCAATCTAGACATGCTTTTGCGCAAAAAAGCCCCAATCACCATTTTTGCGATCTGGGCTTTTTTGAGCAAAACAAGTCTCCGCTGTCTACACTATCCCTTTTGCGCAAAACTTTTGCGCAAAAGGGACTTTTGCCTGAATGGTAGCAGCGTAGTATTTCCGCAAGAAGCACTGATTTCTTACAGTAGAAAGTCAGTGCTTTTGCGGAAATTCAAGCGGCCAGTGTAGACAGCTGGCAAGTTTTTCCGGAAAAGTGGCTGATTTTCCAGAAAAACTGGCCAGTCTAGACACAGCCCCTGTGTTTGCCTTTAATCCCCCACCCCACCCCTACAGTATAAGCAATAAAGAGACTGTTGTTTAGAAAACATGTGTTTTTATTTAGGCAAGGCAGCCCCTGGGAACTGGAGCCCATGGGACTAAAACTTTTTGAAATCATTGAAGTATTTTAGCTGTTGCATCATGGCCACGTGTGCCACGGTGTGCTGCTCATGCTGAGATGTGCTTGCAACACTGCCCTCATGGGAAACTAAATTCAAATTTTCTCAGGGCTTTTCCTGTTCATCTGGAGAACAGTAGAGGCGCAAGTTCTGGCCAAAGCAGGACCCTGTGGAATGTCTCCAAGAGGCCAATAGCTTTGACTTTTGCCAATGCTGCATCTACACTATCATAAATTCAACCAGGCAAGGTTGGGAATAGCATAACTCCTTGTGAAATCAGGAGTAACCGACATTGACTTCAGTGGCCCACCATTGGCGAGACAGATTGGAAATGTGGACTCATTGTTTAGAAAATCAACCATATGTGGCTAAAAATTTGGTGTAAAGCCCTAGGCTACATCAATACTGTGCTCTCTTGTGCAATAAAATATGCAAATGATGCAAAGCAGTGAATATTGCCATGCCTCATTTGCATACTTAATGAGCTGCCATTTTTGCACACAAACCCCCTCTTGCGCAAAAGCCGTTCTTCCTGAAAAAAAGTGGAAGAACAGCTCTTGTGCAAGAGCAGGGTTTTTCACAAAAAGGAGCCATGTAGACAAAAGCCCTTTCTGGAAAAATGGCAGCTCATTAAGTATGCAAATGAGGCATGGCAATAATCACCGCTTTGTCTCATTTGCATATTTTATTGCACAAAAGTGTAAATCAGGCCTAAGATCTACTGCAGAAGAACTATGGAAATACTTTT